ACTTTATTCTTCCTTCTCAGGATTGCTTTGGCTATTCGGGGTCTTTGATGTTTCCATATGAATTTTTGAACTATTTGTTCCAGTTCGTTGAAGAATGCTGTTGGTAATTTGATAGGGATTGCATCATATATGAATATTGCTTTGGGCAGGATGGCCATTTTGACAATATTAATTCTTCCTAGCCAAGAGCATGGGATGAGTTTCCATTTGCTAGTGTCCTCTGTAATTTCTCATAAGAGTGTCTTGTAGTTTTCAGGGTATAGGTCTTTCACTTCCTTGGTTAGGTTTATTCCTAGGTATTTTATTCTTTTTGATGCAATTGTGAATGGAATTGTTTTCCTGATTTCTCTTTCTATTAGTTCATTTTTAGTGTATAGGAAAGCCATAGATTTCTGTGTGTTAATTTTGTATTCTGCAACTTTGCTGAATTCCGATATCAGTTCTAGTAGTTTTGGAGTGGAGTCTTCAGGGTTTTGTATGTACAATATCATGTCATCTGCAAATAGTGACAGTTTAACTTCTTCTTTACCAAACTGGATTCCTTGTATTTCTTTGTTTTGTCTAATTCATGTGGCTAGGACCTCCAGTACTATGTTGAATAACAGTGGGGAGAGTGGGCATCCCTGTCTTGTTCCCAATCTCAGAGGAAAAGCTTTCAGCTTCTCGCTGTTCAGTATGATGTTGGCTGTGGGCTTATTATATATGGCCTTTATTGTGTTGAGGTACTTGCCCTGTGTATCCATTTTGTTGAGAGTTTTTATCATAAATGGGTGTTGAATTTTGTCAAATGCTTTTTCAGCATCTATGGAGATGATCATGTGGTTTTTGTTATTCTTTTTGTTGATGTGGTGGATGATGTTGATGGATTTTCGAATGTTGTACCATCCTTGCACCCCTGGGATGAATCCCACTTAGTCATGGTGTATGATCCTTTTGATGTATTTTTGAATTCGGTTTGCTAATATTTTGTTGAGTATTTTTGCATCTACATAATTTTCTTTTTTGGTGGGGTCTTTGCCTGGTTTTGGTATTAGGGTGATGTTGGCTTCATAGAATGAGTTTGGGAGTATTCCCGTCTCTTCTATTTTTTGGAAAACTTTAAGGAGAATGGGTATTATGTCTTCTCTGTATGTCTGATAAAATTCCAAGGTAAATCCATCTGGCCTAGGGGTTTTGTTACTGGGTAGTTTTTGCTGTGAATATATTTTGATACATGTATAGATATAGACATTATACAAATTTATATAAATTAAAAATTATGAATTATATAGAAATAAAATTTATATATAATTATAAATATATACATATATGTATATACATATATGTGTGTGTACAAGAATATTTATGTATCTATATATACTACATATATTTGCTGCTTTTTAGTACATTCTATAGTCTTCACAAACTGTAACATACTTCATATTCTTTTCAAGAATCTTTGAAAAAATAAAAGTATTTCCAAGTATAAAGCTTATTAGTCATGGTTTTCAGTCTCAACTTTACCATTGCCTGTGTAATGTTGGAGGTCAAGTGACCGCCTCATTTCCTCTGCACTAAATGGGGATAATAATGGACTCACTGGAGTCCTGTTATGAGAATAAATGAGATGAAAACCTGTAAAGCTCTTAACATAGAGCCTGAATATAACAAGTACCTCAATTTTAGATGTATTATTCTTACCTGTTTTTTCTAAGTACATTTTGGAATCATGATTATTTTTGTTAGTTAATTTTAATATGGGAGAACAAACCCAGGCATTTTTTTGGTTTTCCCCTCCTATCTCTGTTTATTTAAGACTGTGTTCATGTGCAGCTCAGCTGTTCAGCTGGAGGAGTGTTCAGTCCTAGCAGAGGTTAACTGTCCTTCTGGCTTCTGTGCACAGAGGTTTGCTGCTGTCATAATGAGGATCCGAGAGCCCAGGACAACAGCCCTCATATTTAGCTCTGGGAAGATGGTCTGCACAGGAGCCAAGAGGTATGAGGGACCACCCTCCACCCCTGCCAGACAAATAATTCATCATGTAAAACAAGGAAGGGTAGTGTTCGTGTTTTAAAACACACAGTAGGAGCGAAATACTTTGCTCAAGAGTTAAATTCATGAGATGCCCAAATTTTAGGTTAAAAACATTCTGGTTCATAATACTGAATTCTTTTCCACTTTACAGTCCCCCCTGTTAAACTGAGGGGACTAAACTAGGCTGATACAACTTGTTTTTAAGGTACATTTTTTTTTTAAAGCTACAGTAGTGATAAAGCCTGCATAAGCCTGGGGAAGTAGTTACGTATTTTCCTCATTGTAGATGGAGAGAACTTTTTAAAGGTGCTAAATGGGACATTTCTTGACCATTAGCTTGAGCGTTAGGTCAGGAGGTATCTCTTAAAAGACTTGTCTTTGCTGGATCTCATGCAGAGGAAGCCCTGTGCTGATGTATACCCTTCCAGCATAAACCTGTAGTGGGAGAGCTGCTCCTCCTTCTGAGTGTTAAAAGATGATAGCAAATGTCTTTCTGAAAGGTTGCATCAGTTTCTTTGCTCTAGAGATGTACTGAGTGTTCATTTTCTCCAAAGATACCGGGTGATAATATTCTTTTTTATATTTGCCAAACTGGCAAAATTATGTTGTTTTAATTACATTTCTTGTATTTACTAGTGAGACTAACTTTTCATATGTAAACTTCCTACTGCGTCTTTTGCCCAACAGTCTGTGGAGATATTCTTTGTAAATAGCTTTTTGTATTTCAGTATTTCTACCATTTTATAGAGTAAACATTTTTTCCCAGATTACTGTTAATGGTGTCTTATGATGTTTTGTTTTTTTTACACAATTAAAATTTTTTGTGTGTAGTCATCCAATTTTTTTCTTTATGGCTGTTTGCTTTCATGTTTAGGAAGGCATTTCCCATGCACAATATTACATAAATATTGATCTCATGTGTTTTTCTGGCCTTTTTCGGGTCCTGCTTTGTAGTGAGGAAAGGAAGTTGATGTTTTGATTCAGTTAGAGTTTTCTCTAGGTGATGGAAATGAAATTTGCCATATCTGCACTATCCAAGATGCTAGCCACTAGCCGCATATGGCTTTGTAAATTTAAATTAATTAAAATTAAATAAAAAATTCATTTCCTCTGTTGTATGAGCTAAATTTCAAAGTGCTTAATAGTCACATGTGCTCAGGGGCTACCACATTGGGCAGAACAAGTCTAGAACTTTGTTTCATTGCAAAATAATGTTTTTTTCAAATGACCAATCAGTGCACCAATAGATTTACTGAAAAATCCATTTTTACTCCTTTTTTTTTTTGCCCACCTGTTTTTACATATACAGTTCTTTAAATATATCTGAATAAGTTTCTGGCTTTCTCTTCTGTTGCTCTGTGTGTCCTTTGACCTAGACATCTCCATTTTTTAAGCTGTTGGACAATTCTGCAAGATGCCTGCAAGGAGGTTCATTTCAGCATTGTTTAAAATGAGGAGAAACAAATGTCTAGTAATAGTTTTTTTTAGATCATAAATTAAAATTGTATTTAGCCATTTAAATACACACACATATATCAAGTTGGAGGTATAGTTTAAGTTGTGTAGGAGCAGGCAACTAAACTGTAGGTTTATTATCCCACTTTCACTTTAAAATATGCTCATATTACACATTCATGAGTATCTTTCCCTGTCTGAATTTATTTGGTTTCTAAAATTTGATAGTGAAAGCTTGGCTAGTGAGCTCAGAAAATAAGAGACCCTTGTTATCCAAGAGTACTTGGTTCTTGACTTTTGGATTGAGGGTTGTGAGAGTTCTGAAATTTATCCAAACCTATTATCTTTAGGTGTAATAACCAGTTTGCTAGTGAGGAATACCTGTGTTTACATAGGAAAAGTTCCAAAGGATCAAATTGATCAGTGGTTCTGGTGTTGACATTTCAAGGTTCTTACTCTATTTCCTAGTGTTTGTACAAGGATATGTATGTAGACTGTAACTGTCAGTTATTTGAATGAGGATTTCTAAGGGATATTCACAGCCAATATCCCAAGAAACTACATGGCTCTGCAAACTCTTGAAATCAGACCTTTTTAACATTTGCACTATGGGAAATGTAACGGCTCAGTTAGGCAAAATGTATTTTTTCAAAATAGTAAGTTTATTTCACTGCTAACTTGGGGACATGGCCTTGCTATTTCAGAAGTTATAAGTGGGTGAGGAGAATCAAAGTGAGGTGATGTGTGACGTAATTAGTACACATGCGAGGGGGCAGTGCTGTGAAGAACCTAGATGGGAAAGAGAGTCCAGTGCTTCCTTTGGTCCAGGCAAACACAAGTTCAACCTGGCTTGTCTTTCAGGTGCTTCTGATTTCCAGCTCTAAGAAAGGGTGGATTCATGCGGTTCACCCACCAGGTGTTCCCCCTGTTTGGCAATCCCTGCTACTCATTGGTTTGTTTGGATGGTGACCATTGAAAAGGACTTTATGAAAAGTAAAGCCTCAAACCCCAGACTTCCCATTCTGACAGGGATTTAGGGCTGGAGTAGGACAAACATTCAGAAGGAACATAGCCACAAAATTGGATGAATTTCTTTCTTTCTCATATTGAGTATGAGGTGAATGGCAATTGTGTGAGAAAGGCTGAGCAAAATTAGGCAAGTTCTGAGGTATTTTTCATGTTTTTTCCTTAATGTAATTTGTCCCATAAACACCCACATGCTGATTCCTCTCTGCCCTCCTGAGCTACTCAGCACAGCTCTTATTTTCTCATTGGTTCTTTGTTGGCTCACACACGTCCTTATTTTTGTTAATGTTGTTCCCATCTAAGTAGCACACACTTTTATACCAGACACTTTTATACTAAAACCTTACAAAGCATCACAATCACCGAAGGGTTTGAAGCACAGACTGCTGGCCCCCACCCCCAGAGTTTCTGCACATCTGAGATGGGACCTGGGACTTTGCATTTCTAATAAGTTTCAGGTGGTGCTGCTGGGCTGAAGACTCTGAGAACCAGCAGAATACTTAATTGTATCTAATAGTGTGGAAAATACATATATTTATATGTGAAAGATTATAAATTAAGGTAAATCAGCTTATGATTCAGTTCAGCAGTTGTACTTTGTGCCATACTTTTTCCTAGGTGCTAGGAACAAATGCAGGGGAAGTCGGTCCTCATCCTCAGTCTATAGGTGCGAAGTGTACATGGAAAGATAAATGTAATACAAATGCTAACCATACAGTCAGAAAAGTATGTGAATGCAGCCTGAGTAGTAGAGTGGACATAGTGATTAAGACATCTTTCAACACATTTTCCCCTTTCCAGTGAAGACCAGTCTCGACTTGCAGCCCGAAAGTATGCTCGTGTGGTGCAGAAGCTCGGATTCCCTGCCAGAGTCCTTGATTTTAAAATTCAGAACATGGTTGGAAGCTGTGATGTGAGATTTCCAATCAGGCTGGAAGGTTTGGTGCTAACTCATCAGCAGTTCAGTAGGTATGACTGTTATATCCCTTAACTTTGAGCTTACCACCATATTAAAGTTGTTACCGGATGCTTATATAATGTATCTTTCAAAGAAAGTGCAATTTTTTTTTTAAGGCACAGTAGGTGAAAGGGTTAAGTTGTGAGCCTCAGTGCTCACTGGTTACCTACCTTATGTGTCCAGTCTTCTGAAATAGTGGTTCTCAAAATTAATTGCATACTAATCAACTGGCTGGCGATTTTAATAAAACACATTGTTGCCTGGGCTGCTTCACCAGAAATGTTGCTTGAATTTGCGGTGCTAGTAGCTGACAGGTCATGCCAATGCTGGAGACCCACACAGAGACCAGCTGCTGTGTACCTTTCTAAAACTGCACGCCAGGCTATGGGTGAGGGCAACGGCAGACAGAGAAGGGGTGTGCAGTGGATTAGGAAGTTGACAGCTGGGGAGGGGGAAAAGGAGAGAAGATGAAGAATGGCCATAGCACATGCCATGAAGGCAGTCCCATCTAGTTTTTGTCCTGTCAAGTTTATTTAGCCATTTCGTTTGTGTGTGTTTAGCTGTAGCCCCCACCACAATTTCTTCTTTAGTGTCTTCACATTCCTCAGGAGTATCTCTAGCGAGCCTGGCTTCTTCAAATGCAACTCCCCATCTCAGGCCTCAAGAGCAAATGCTCCTTCTTCTCCCTCAACTGCTTTGGTGCTTCTCCCTGCCGGCTCAGGCCCTCAGGCAGCAGTGACCAAGGCTGATCCATTAACACCCAAGCCCACTGCCCCCTGGGACACACACCTGGGCCAAGGCACCGGAACTGGCTTAGAATCACACATGCTCTTCAGTTCTCTTGATCTAGCCTGAACTTAGGTCCTTATACCCCACTTTTCCTTCTCTTTGCCTTCGAGTAACTATTCTGTTGAACAGAATGGATAGAGATCACATAGTTCTGCTTTAACATGCTAGCTTCCCTTTGAGACATAAACAGAAGCTAAAATTTGGTTACCTTTTTCCTAACTTTTAAAATATAGTTCAGTCTTAGATTTAGCTTTTATGATATTGTTCAGGCAATGTTTTTCCCCCTTGATTATATTTCTTTTTTACCTCTGCATCAATTTTAGGGATGGAGAACATCTCACTGGGGTTGAGTGTGTATAGCTCTAGTCCCCACCACAATTTCTTCTTTAGTGTATTAGTGTAACACCTCTTGGGATATACACATTGAGTTCACTACTGGGAAGCCCTCCGCCCATGTAAGACATACCGCCTGTTTAGGTACCTTTATCTTTCTTCAATCTTGGAATAATTTGTAGATTCATAATAAAACTTCCATTTTTAGAAGTCTCTCAGCACACAAGCCATCTTTCCTAGATTCACAACCATGGGCCTCTAGTCTGTCTTCCTCTGAACCAACTTTTTCTGAACATCTCAAAGACCTCTGCCTGAATTCTAAGATCATGTCTGTATTAGACTTAGCATTCCCCATCTGGGCCATGAAGAGCTCTAAGATACATGCAATTCCTGTGCAGTTTCATTTCATTTCTTTTTCACCTATGTCATCCTCTCCTGTAGATCAGATTTAAGCCTAGACCAGGAGCTCCCCTTGTCACTACTTCTACTTTCAGAGAGATAAAACTGCCAGTAGGGCAAGACAGAAATTCATCACATGCGCTGTATTTGGCCACTTGGAGTGGGCCCATCTCATATCTTCCTTCTTTTTAGTCTTCTTGCCTTCCCCAAATGCCCTGTATTTGGCCTCCATCCTTAGGTTATGGATTATAACTCCAGTGTCTGTATTCATGACATTTGGGCATTAAAAAAAACACCTCTTTCTCAGCAGGTTTGTGTCTTTAGAATTAGGCCTTTCTTTACTTATCTCTAGCCTTGTAGGGAACTGTGGCACACATCAGTTTTAATTATCAGGTCAAGTGTGCCTTATGTTAAAACCTTATGTTAAGTTCATTTAATCCCCCTGGCTCTACAAACTTATAATATATCAGCACCTGACAATATAAGTGTCTCCCTTGTTACTGGGCACTTTCTCCATCAGTCTTTCTATGCCATAATTGTTTTGTTTTCCCTAAGCATTTTTCTCCTACCCTTCCATTTTTAAATCAAATATATCCTGATAATTATTTCTTAAATGGGTAAAATCTAGGTGGCTACTATGTGTAGATGCTGCGGTGACCAGTGATTGTGGCTGTCACTACAATCCCTTGCCCTCATAGAGCTTACTGTCCAAGAGGGGAGACAGAGATGCCAAAGAAAGTAATGGAATATGGCAATCATGAAGGTGAACACCTCTTGTAGTGCTACAGTGCCATTGAGCAGATTAATTAATGTCACTGGGCCAGGGTAGATGTGGAGGTCAAGGAAGGCTTCTTAACAGAAGTGACATTTAAGCTGAAATTTGAACAGTGCATTGAAGTTGGCTTGGCCAAGGAGTGGCAGGTATTTGTTATTCTCAACCCCAATGAGATGTTCTCCATCCCTAATCAAAACCTTTTGTTTTTCATGCCTCAAACTCTTCTAAATTAGGCAGAGAATAAATGAAATGAAGTAAATATCTAATTGGGAATTCATTATGCTGGTACAATAAAACCCTGGTTCTGAAAGCCAAATTCAGTTCACTGTCGTTTACATACCCAAGACTTCTGTTTATACCTTTTAGAGTACTAGGGTTTGGTTGGAAGATCAAAGAGAGCCATTCCTTTTGTGCCCCAGCCATCACTTTCTTGGATCAAACCTTGTGGTTTCCAGGGCTCCAGCTAGTATCAGTGTCTCCCCAGTGTCAGAAAGTGGTTAGTGGGTAGAAGTCTTGACAGGCTTTCTGCAGTAAGGTGGAATGATGCCAGGAAGAGAGGGCCACACACAGTAACCTTCATATGTAAGAAGGGCCACTCACCACTGTGATGCACCTTTCTGGCACCTCTAAAAAGTCTCACATCTGCTGTTGTGTGGTCTCATTCACTGCAGAATGGAATGAAGTTTTTCTGTGTGGTCTGGATTCGCCCTTTTAAAGCAAGGACTCATGTGTCATCTAGTGCTCCATTTTCCAGATTTCTTCCTGTATATCTATTCACCGTTAGCCTTTGTTTTAAGAATAGTTTTATTTAACTCCTGACTTATTTTTGTAGGCTCCTTATACCTTTCTAGGAATCTCTCCTCCTCTCTATGCTAGACTATGGAGAAGCCATTCTTAGCTCTGCCATCCTTTGTTCAATGGAGAAGCCAACTCACATTTAGTAGTAAATGTGAATGAGTTAGTTTATATGAAAATTGTTTAGGTTTTATTTGCTAAACTGTTAACTCTAGCAGTTTATAAATGCATACAGAATGTGCTCATTATTGGGGAACTTGGAAACTTCAGAAAATGTATTTATTTTTGTGGATAGACTTTTTTGGAAAGCTGGAGAACATTTAACTAACAAGATCTTAATATATTAAATCTGATGCCCTAAATTACTTTAATTTCTAATACCTTAGGATGACTTACACTTGAAAACATATTATGACCAAAATAAATTCTGGTTTTGACTGCCAAAAGAAATTACATACACCACTCAAGACTACTTTTATCAAGGTGGCCAAAAGGTTTTTGGTAGAATAACTTTCTTAAGCTGTTTTAATATGCAGCTTTAGTATACTGGGTCTTAAATATTATGGGAAAATAATTGATTAATGCTATTTTTAACTTTTTCCTTTTATATCAGTTATGAACCTGAACTGTTTCCTGGCCTTATTTATAGAATGGTAAAACCACGAATTGTATTGCTTATCTTTGTATCTGGAAAAGTTGTGTTGACAGGTAAGTTCTATGATCATTTTCTGACTTTCATAAAACTCAGTACTTTGCTTTTTCTTTTAAATGGCTTTGTTCACCATTATAAAGCAATTCTTGCTATTATAGAATACCTATTCGAAAAGTGAAAAGTAGAAAGGAATATTACATCACCTATCAGTCCCAATACCAAAAACAATATAACTTTTTTCATGTTTTTATGTCATTTTGATATGTATATTAATTTTTACATCCTGCCTTTTTATTAACCATTATAACATCTGAGCCTTAACTCATTGCTACAAACTTTTCAAGAAGGTTTTAAATAGTTGCAGAATGTTCCAACAGAGGGGTCAGCAAACCTTTTTTCTGTGAAGAACCAAATACAAAATATTTTAGGCTTTGTGGGCCATGTTGCAATTTACCTCTGCCATTGTAATGAGAAAGTAGCTATAGACCTTACATAAGGTCTCTGAAATGTGATTTTAATATAATTCATAAGATTTACATGTGTCATGTAATAGTCTTTTGGTTTTTATTCGCCCCCAACCATTTAAATTATAAAAATCATTATCAGTTCAGAGGCTGTCAAAAACAGGAAGCAGACTAGATTCGGCCAGCAGGCCAAAGTTCTAGCATGTTCTTGCATTGAACTTATAATTGTTCAGCGTTTAAATGTTTGTTTTTTGTTTGCTGATTATAAATGAGACAAACATTTGTCTGTTTCTATGTGTGGAAAATTATTTTATTAGTGTGGATGCTCAGAAATGGAACTTTTAAGGATATGATCATTTTTAAAGTTATTAGTATAAATTACCAGTTTCTTAAATGTGTATATGACATAGCTCTCCTTTATCATACAATCCTACCAGTGATGTATGTAAGTATATTTTACAAACCCTCAGCAGAATTCAAAACAAAATGATATAAAAGAAAACTTTAACAGTATAAGTGACAATGATCTCACTGCTTTAAGATCACTAGTAATCAGAAGAAGAGATTGATCACTTTTTAACATATACAACAAATAACATTTTATCTTTTGTAAATAGTGTGTACATAACTTATTCCCTTTGCCTACTTAGTTTTTATTAGTTTTTTCCCTAAGGATTTTTATGTATTCACCATAATATTAACAATTGCTTTTTGCTATACTTGTGACTTTTTCCAGTTGACTTATTTTTACATAAAGAAGGGCTTAAAAATTCTTGAAGTAAATGCTTGAGACTTTCTTCCATACCACTCTACTGAAGTCTGCTGTTTGTCTAATTTTATCTGGGTTTTTACACATTTTACCCTTCTGTACCAAGATGAATGCCAAGTTTGTATGGCATGAGCCAAATCAATTATGCCCCACTCCCAAAGAGCTGGCCAGCCATCTTAACACTACGGAGCCTTCTTCTCTTTATTAATTTATGATGACTCCTTTTGCCCTTTATTTTTATATAAGGGTCTATTTTGAATTCTTGTTTTGCTCTAGATTTATACTATCATATCTTATTATATTTCTATACTATTGTGGTTTGTGCTTTAATTCAAGTGGTCTCTGTATCTGATAGGGCTGGTTTTCCCTCATTGCATCTCTTCATGTTTGTCAGCTCCTTTCAAATATTTATTCTTCCAAACAAATGGCAGAATTTTACAAGATCTTGCCCATTTTTAAAAAAAAAGGATTTTTCATTACCCGGATTAATTTGAGAAAAACTGATAGTTACCACTCAGCATCCCAAAACATGGAATGTCTGTTCTTAAGTCATCTTTTAGAACTCTCAGTAAAGTTTTAGAGCTTATTTTTCTCTGAGAAATAAGTAACGTGTCTTCAAAGTAGGAAAGCTGTTTTGGAATTCAAGAACCTTTAGAATACAACAAACCACAGTTTCTCAGATGCCACCAATTTAGAGTCTGAAATAATTAAGACCTCCTAGTGACTGGCATAAAGTTTACCTCTGTATTCTGAAGGAAGGGAGAGAAGTCTGCCAAGTACATTGAATAGTATAGAAATATCAGAGGTGAATATATGCCTACATAAGGGGACAAACTTTTTAACACCTTTGGATGGATACTTTCACATATGTGCTATGTGTAATTACAAATCAGTCTTTATTTAAAATGCGAATTGCCAAGTACAGGCTAAGTTCCTATTATAGGTACTCAAGTTTCTTTAAATATCCTTAATTCAGACCAACTTTCCCACTTATTCAAAAGGAAAAAACCTTTCACGTACACATTTCATTGTACACACACATAAGTTTCAAATCACAAAGTAAAGGATTGTTAATACATAATACCCCAAACCCTACAATAAACTCCCCTTAAAATGTGTCACAAGACATAGGTCATCATCTTTGTGAGGAGAGTAACAAGAGGTGTACTGACTGAAGTCCAGAGTTTGGCTTCTGTTATGAAGTGAAGCCAGCCAATGTCTTACTACTGAAATATGAGTAATTATCTATTGCGATTTTCCTCCGTTTATTCCATGTTGTCTTAAAGTACTTTACCCAGAACTATGCAGTTTAGGTTACTTTTGCTCCGAACTTAGAGACAAATGCTTCTTATTCCTTTCTTGGGTACTTAAATTCTTTCACCTAGAAAGGAATTTAAAACTCAAGGGCCCAATTTTGGGTCTAAACATGGGGAAAGGGGCCAAGGAGGCCTTTTAGCCCTGCCTCTAGGATTTATTTCAGCTGGGGTGGCTGTATAGAGAGTCCAGTGGAGTCCTAGAGACCCACGTGGTCTTGTCCAATATGGCAAGACTCTGTGGAGCTGTTTTGAGAACAAGGTCCCAACAAGGGTAAATAACTTTTGCCTAGAAAATGTTAAGAGTATTGAAATTATAATGCACACTGTATTGAATAATAGATGTCAGATCTTCCCTTATGTAAGAACTGTAGAGCACCAATGCACATAATACAAGTGGCAGTTTGAAACCATTGTGTCATGCACCATTTGCATGGTCTTTGAGAATAATTTATCCATGTAAAATTGCCTTAATCCCCTGAGGTGCCCAAACTGCAGCCCAAACCGTGTCGGAGGCTACATCTGAATGCTCTAATTATCGTTAAGTGAGCTGAGGACAGAGAGGCCCTACTGTCCTACTTTGTCGTGGTCCCTGACAGCAAAAAGCAACAGGAACTGGGCCAAGTTCAAACTGCTTTCCCAAGTCCATGCTGCTTTGCTATAATAGGCATAATATTTAGGACCCATGTTTTTTCTCAGACCACAGTAAACTTAATAGCATAGCTCAGATATGCTGGAATAAAATATAATGAGCATCAGATCTGTCAACTTTCACTTCTAAGATCAGACACAATAGACTTAACATATGTTGCGCACTCATGTGCTGGGCGCTGGGATGAGGGCTTGTACTTGGATTCTAGTTAACTCTGTGTGGTTGTATTTAATATCTCAGTTTCCTCACCTGTAGAATGGGGACAATGGAGAGGGTAAGTAACCTTAACCATGTCAAACAGCTATCCATACTGAAGCACGGCTGGAAACTTAAGCTTCGTGGCTCCAGAGTCCACCATTAGCACATACTTGCCCTGTCTCCGGCTCCTTAAATGTCTATGCAAACACCTGTGTGGTCTTTTGGGCACCTTCTCCCTAACCTGATTGTCAGCTGAAGGAATGATAAGTGAATTCTCTGTCAGTGGTGACAGGCAGCAGGTGTGGTAGCTAAGAGGATGGGCCCTGGAAACCAAATGTCCAGTTTGGATCCAGGCTTCATTTATTGGCTGTATGACCTTGGATGAGTCTAAATCCTCCACCTGATTTCCACATATGTAAAAGGCAGGTGACCATGGAAACCACCTGCTAAGTGTTGTGAGGAGGCCAAATCCAGTGCCTGATGTATGGTAAACATGGCAGAAACGTCAGCTATTGTTACCTCAGTTGAAGCCTGCTCTTCTTGTTCTTCCCTAGCATTGAAAAAGACTGGAATTTTGCTGTGATGCTTTGCCCCGATGATAGGAATATAAAATCTAAAGAGCCTTCAGTAAAATGCTTTATTTCCCTCCTGCGTAAAGGACTAAGAAGCTGGGTCTTTGTTATTGAGGGTCACTCTCAACTTGACATCAGTGGTTCTTGGAGTTGGGTCAGAGGGCAGCATAAAAATAGCACAGATATAGTAAGTGGGCCAAAGAGAGAACACAGTATCACGATCAGTAGTTAATGGCAGTCTCCCACTAATAGCAGATGGTATATACCGTAAAATGTATACCTCCAGGGTTTTAATGCTGTTTTTTTCCCATTTGTAAGATTTTCACTTACATGCACTCACATATGGTACCACTGGGGAAAATCAGATGTGTAGTTGGTGAAGGCATAGAATTGGAAAATCCAAGCAGTATTGGAAATTAATATGTGGACTGGCTAAGGAGTAAGGATGAGCTTAGAAACCTTATAGACAGATGATATATATTTCATAAGCATTGGGTGCCTACCAGATACACGTGCTGTTTTGGTGCTGAGGAAACAAAAGTGAATATAATGCATCCCCTGACTGTCAGGAATCCAGCTCTGGGGAAGGAGACAAACAAATCACATCATACTGGTTCCTACAGAACTGAATGATAAGCCTCATGTACTTAGACCAGCCATCCCAACATCCCTGATCCTGAGGTACCTTCTACTAGGACAATAAGCTTTGATTTTGTAAAGTATTATGGCTTACAAAGGACTTCTTACAAGCATTGGCTCATGTAACCCTTATAGGGTCCATCCATGTTGCAAACAGCAAGACTTCATTCTTTTTTAAGGCTGAGAAATAAATAAATAAATGAATGAATAAGTATATGTGTAAAATACACACACATCTTCATCAATTCATCCATCAATGGACACTTAGTTGTTTTCGTATCTTGGCTGTTGTGAATAGTGCTGCAGAATATAGGAGTATATATATTTTTTGAATTAATGATTTTGTTTCCTTCAAGTAAATACCCAGAAGTAGAATTACTGGATCATGTGGTATTTCTATTTTTAGTTTTTTGAAAAAATTTCATACTGCTTTCCATACTGACCTGTCC